ATAAAAGAAAAAATAAATTGAAAAAAAATGAATGAATTATTGTTTTAATAAAACATGTCAAACTTGAAAAGCAAGTTATTACAATAAAAACTTTACAAAATAATATTTAAAGAATACTACATATTTTCTACATGTATTTCAATTTGCATGCTGACACTTTAGGATATTCAGGTCGGCAGTTGTATGCCGTCCTAAAGCAAAAATAAGTTGGCTTTTGCATCGGAATTACGCTGACTATATATATATATATATATATATATATATATATATATATATATATATATATATATATATATATATATATATATATATATATATATATATATATTTTTTTTTTTTTTTTTTTTTTTTTTAACATCTTTACTTCCAACAAGGCTGCAAGCAACCACTATAAGAGTTGGAAGTTACTGGAAGAGAAAAGACTAAATCTGTAGAGCAAGATAACGATTGACTGATGACTTAAAAGAATGTAAATTATATGAATCAGGAAAGCAAGATGAAGGAAGCGAATTCCAAAGAACTGATGTTCGATGAAAAAAAACTAAAAGAATAAGAGTTTTTGAAGCACTTAGGAACAGTCACAGAAAAAGGATGAGACTTAAATGAATGGCGAGTAACACGAGAATGAATTTTAGTAGATGGCACAAGGGACGCTAGCTCTTTAGAGCAGTGCCCATTATAGTATTTGTAGAAAAGAGAAAGAGAAGCAACATTACGACGATGTGACAAAGGTTGGAGATTGGCTGCCAGAGCAGGTCCAACTATGTTTACAATTCGTTTTTGCACCTTGTCTAAAAGAGAAAGAGCATCATTAGAAGATCCGCCCCAGATGTGGCAACAGTATTCCATACAGGGACGGATTTGAGATTTATAGAGATAGAGAATAGAATCTGGAGTAAGAAAGTGTCGAGCTCGATAAAGAGATGCAACCTTAGCAGATGCTAATTTTGCAATGGATTTGATATACGGTTTAAAAGAAAGATCAGAAGTAAGAGTTAATCCTAGAAGATGAATGGTAGATGACTCATCTAGTACATTACCATTCATAAATATAGGAAGATCTAAATTATTACGATAACGATTGGCCGAATAAAATTGAGTTTTATCTGAATTAAAGTTCACCAGCCACTGTGAGCCCCATGCTGTAGCAGAAGTGAGATCCTTTTCAAGCTCAGATACCCCCTCCAAGCAATCAGAGAGTGTAGGCTTCTTATCATGACAAGAGTAAATGGTAGTGTCGTCAGCGAATAATGCCACCTTAGATGTGAGAATATCTGGAAGATCGTTAATGTAAATTAAAAAGAGTATAGGGCCAAGGATTGAACCTTGAGGAACCCCTGAAGTTACAGGATGTGAAGAAGAGTGTTGTCCATCGAGGACAACTTTTATACTACGATTGGAAAGAAAGGACTCAATAATCTTAAAGACGTTACCAGCTACACCATAAGAAGAAAGCTTATGGAGAAGACCAGCATGCCAAACTTTATCAAAAGCTTTAGAAATGTCAAGTGCGATAGCCTTAACCTCTCCACCTCTATCTAATGCACGGTAAAACCTATCGGTTATTACTGTTAGCACATCAGCTGTAGAACGAGAAGACCGAAATCCATATTGATGGTCAGAAAGTAAGTTATTTGATTCAAGATGAGAGATTAAGTGTTTGTTAATTAAAGATTCAAAAACCTTGCTTATGACAGGAAGAAGACTAATGGGACGGTAGTTGGATGAATCAGATCGCTCTCCGGAATTTTTGAAAATAGGGATAACAGATGCTGCTTTCCAGCATGATGGAAAACAAGACTCTGATAAGCACTTGTTAAATAGTTTAGAAAATATGGATGAAAGCTCCGGAGAACACCTCTGCAAAACTACAACAGGAATGTTGTCAGGACCACAAGCTGTTGAAGAGTCTAAGCAGGAAATTACTTTAGATACAGAAGCTGAAGTGATGCGAATGTCAAGCAAGGGATCAACCTGTTTGACGGCTATGTCAGGTAAAACGCAACTAGTGGAATCAAGAGATGATATTGATGAAAAGTTCTTAGCAAACAATTCAGCTTTGTCTTTAGGTGAGGTGACAAAGTCTGAACCATACAAGAGAGAAGGAATAACAGATTTGCCCTTATTATTGATACTGTTAAAGATTCTCCAGAAGTCTCGAGAGCCTAATTTTTGTGATGAGATACGAGATTTAATGACCTGGGAATAGCGAGTTTTGGCGTCAGACAAAACCTTTTTACAATAGTTTCTGGCGATAGTGAACAGATGTCTGTTTTCTGGAGAATTGTTTTGCTGATAGATATGGAAGTAACGGTTTCGATTAGAAATTGCTGCAGCGCAATGTGAGGAAAACCAAGGAGAAGAGTGAGGCTTAACCTGGAATCGTCGAGAGGGAATAAAAGATTCCATGCCAGCCTGAATCCACGAAGTTATGTAAGAAGCACATTTGTCAGCGGGAAGACGAAAGATTTCTACCCAAGGGCCATCACGAAGAAAATCACGGAAAGAGTCCCAGTTAGTTGTATGTGGTACGATGATAGGGGGATTCTGATGAAGTAGAAGAATTTGATAATAGTTTTAGAGAGATCAAACCGTGATCAGAAGTACCTAAGGGTGAATGTGGAGAAATTGAGCACTGACTAGGATCCAAAACAAGACATAAGTCGAGTAGAGAAGGTAAATGATTAGGGTTGTCTGGAAAACGAGTTGGAAAGTTGACTATTTGAGTTAGAGATTGAGAAAGGCAAAAGTTGAGGGCCTTATCGCCAGCAGAGTCACTGACACTAGAGCCAAGCCAATCGGTGTGATGGGCATTAAAGTCACCAACAACGACGATATTGGCCGATGGATAAAGAGAGAGGGCTTGGTCAATTTGATCAGAAATAACATCAAGAATAGTGCAATCTTGGGATGAAGGAGAGCGATATAGAACAAAGAGAAAGGCGATAGAGTGAAGTTGTGCTAAACGAAAGCACATAAATGAATAGTCTGTAGATTCAAACCTAGTTTCACGACAAATGGGTGAGTTCTTACGAATGTAGATGCCTAGGCCAAGCATGTGATTATTGGAGTCTTTACGAATTAAAGGAAGATAACCATCAACACTAAGATCACAAGATGGGACAGCCGAACTCAAATTAGTCTCACAAAGAGCAAGTAGGTCTGGTGAACTTTGCAAGAGATAAGACTCAACAGAAGAAAAGTTACTTCGAAGACCACGAATATTAGTAAATGATAGGTTTAGAGAACTTGGTGATGACAATGGTTTTTTGTGTTTTTTAGTTTTAGGTACTTTAGTCATTTTAAATTTATAAAGAACTTGACTCAGGTATAGATAGTACTCAGTACACTATTTAACAACTAAGCAATAGCCTCATTACTCTTGATAAACCCTAAGCCGTAACAAAGGGCTCCAAATGTGGCCTCTGCAATGCACACCAAAAGTACAAACAGGGACACCATCCATGCGCAACATGGCACTGTTAGTACTCTGATATTTTTCGGCTGTTGATGGAATCAGCCTCTCTGAGAGCTACCACAGAGTTCGGGAAACCTGACTACCAGCCGGCCTCAGAACCATAAAACTGAGTTTTAGAGCTGTACCCTCATTAGGAGATAATAGAATGAGTTGCCCAGTCATAAAAATAGAGACACAAACAATACCCACGCATTGAGTCAAGAAGATCCAGCGTTCAACATCCTAAACTGGAAACAATGTATTAAGAATACATCTGCACCAGCCTAATAGATGAGGAAGGGGTGCGAGGCTGGTCAACAGATAGAATCTGTTTACCCCTTAAGTCTTTGCCTAGGAGGCCTTCTACAAGACAGCAGCTGGATGCATGTAACATCTGCCCAAGATGAGTATTTTTATCGAGACACCATCTCTAGCCTTTACTCAACCAAGAGCCCCAAGGCAGGGGGTGTTTTAATTCGGAGTTAACTTCTCCTAGCCTTTGCCTAAAAAAGCGTATCCTACAAGGCAGCAGGACATGGAGCAGGTTGTACTGGGTTACATGTTACCAGTAGCAGGAAAACCTGACCTGACCTTGATATGGAAGTACAATGTCCTTCAATATAGTTATAATAAACAAATCTTTTGTTGGTCTTCCTATAAAATAAAACTATAAAATATATATATATATTTGAATATATATTTGAATATACATTTATATATATATATATATTTATATTTATCTATCTATATATATATATATATATATATATATATATATATATATATATATATATATATATATATATAATATATATATATATATATATATATATATATATATATATATATATATATATATATATATATATATATATATATATATATATATATATAACTATATATATATATATATATCTACTACAGCATATTTATATGCGCAATTGCTCACTTTTTTTGCTAGCCAAAATTAAGTGAGCGTTTTTAGAAAACGATGATGGAAAACGAAGAATAATGAATGAAAAGGTTGCTGACCCATTCCAAACCCTCAGTCGATGTAGCAGCACTCCACTGCGAGTCAGGCTATTTGTCAGTCGATGTATGTACTGAAGCCCCCGGCAGCAGGCTATTTGACGTTAGGTAAGTATGACATCACCACTCATGCTCACCTAACTCAGCAGTATAAGATATATAACTATATATATATATATATATATATATATATATATATATATATATATATATATATATATATATATATATATATATATATATATATATATATAGTGCACAACATTTACTTTTTTTTTGATATATTATGTATATAAGTTTTACTGAGAAAATAAGTGATCGGTTTTTGTTTTTTTTTTGGTAAATTTTTCTTAAAAATATTTTTTAGTTAAGTTTTTTAAATTTTTTACATTTTTATTGTGCAGTCAAAGGGTTATATTTTTATTTGCAAAAACCTTAAGTTGGTTATTAAAGCCCTTTTTGTTGAATATAAAATTTGTTTTTATATAAATATATATTTTTATTTTTGTTTTAGACCATAACTAGTAAAAATGCTGATATTATTGCTGCAAATTTATCAACTGCTTTAAATAACAATACCAATATCAAAATAGCTGATTTTCATTTCATTACAGATATAATTACTGGAGTTATTCATTCTAGCCCAATGCCAGAAAATGTGGGTTAATATATTTTTATATTTATATATACAACTTTTAGAAAAGTAAATAATACATGCATTAATTAACAATTAGGAGAACTCATCAAAAAGTGCTGCTTGATTTATAATAAGTTTATGGTGCAGCATAGTTATGGTTAACGAATAAGTGTAAATATTGTTATATTTCTATGATTTTTTTATTTTTGTAAATAAATGAATATAAATGTTAAATACAATATATAATTATTATTTAAAAAAAAAAAAAAAAAATAGACAAAAAAAATAATAATTTTAAATTGGTATAGTTAAAGAAGATGAAACTATAAACAAAAAAAGTTTAGGAAACTATATTAATGTTTAAATCTCCTATTATCTATATTTATGTTTAAATATATTAATGTTTAAATCTCCTATTATCTATTCTTGATAATAAATTCGAGGCAAACTTTACTAGAAAAAGTTTAAATAATTAAAATAACGTCGTAAAAAGTATTATGTTAGTAACTAAAGTAGTATGTTTATGTTTGTAACTAAATGTTTTTGATTATCTGAGTAAAAATAGTTTTAACACCATAGCAACCTTTAGTTTACAGTATGGAAAAGCACAAAAATTTTATTGAATCAGCAAAACTACAGAATGATATTAAGTACCCAATTTATTGAATAAGTGCTATAATAAATATAATTTAAAATAGGGTCATGTCTTGCCCTACCATGACTTTGAGAAAACTTTTAACTTTAAAACTTCTTTGAAAAACTTTTATCTTTAAAACTCTAAAACTGTAACAGATTTTAATATAGAGTTTTTAGATTAATGATTTATTCTTCATCTACCGTAAATGAAAAAATCAGATAAATAGTTTTTGGCAATAAAAGAATTTCTTAAGAGAGCAATAAAAAATCATTCGCCGATAAAAGCATCTCAAAACTATAAAAATAAATCTTTTTAAAAATGTATTGTTACTGAAATAGTTTAGTTTTGTATAAAACAGTTCTAAAAGATATATTTAAAAAACAACAACTGGTATATTAAAAAATTAACTTATTTATTAAAAAATGGTAAGGGCTTCTTCACATCGAGGGAAAACTCAATCCTAATAAAAATATTTTTTAATTTTAAGTTTAAAAGTTAACTCAATGTTAATGATTTTTATAATTGATATAGATTTTTTCTTTTTTTTTTTTTTTTCATTTATTATTTCAAATAATAAATACAATTTTTTATTTTAAAAAATAAACTTAAATTATTTTAAATAGTAAATGCAATTGTTAACACTTCCTTTAAAATCCAATTAATAAATAACGTAAACATTTGATAGGTGATGATCTCAAAAGTTTGAGATCAAATGCTTAAATAATGTTATTGTTTTTTGTTATAAATATTACAATTGATATATAAAACAGAAAGTATAAGAATATCAGAATCATAAAGTGAAGATAAGCGGAAAAAAAATAGACAAATATTTAAACTTAATAAGAAATCAGTATCTGAACTTCCTGTTTTAAAAATAGTAAAACTTAAAAGTTGAAGTTTTTTCTTACTAAAAAGGTTTTTTTTAAAAAAGTTTTTTTTTTGCTGAAAAAAATAATAACAATATCTCATTTATATTTCACTGATTTTTTTTTAAAACATTACTTTTTTCTTAGTGATTTTTTGCTTTAAAAAAGCTACAATTTAAAACAGCTAATTGATTCTATTGGCTGATTATATTAACAGCTACTAAAATCTATTACCTGTTATTAATTAAAACTTTTATTCATCAAGAAAAGACCTGCTACTAAATAGATAGTAATATTATCAATTTTATTAGATAGTGATAATATTTTATTTTTTTCATTTAAAACTGTAATGGCTAGAAAAGACAACCAAGTGAAAAGTTTTATTGAAAGTTAAAAGCAAAATATAAAAGTTGGTTTTCATAAAAGATGCTCCTAGTTTTTAATTTTTTTTTTTAATTTTTAAATAAAAGTTTTTTGTGGATTATTAGGCTTATAACTATATTATGACTATGATGTTATAACTATAACTATAACTATATTATAACTATAATGTATATATATATATATATATATATATATATATATATATATATATATATATATATATATATATATATATATATATATATATATATATATATATATATATATAATATATATATATATATGTAATGTCCAAACTCATTATGTAAAATGTATAAACTATGATGAGTACAAAAATTTAACTTGAACAGCCCAAAATAATTATGTCGACTACAACAACAACAAGAAGCTATTTGTTTTAATTTTCACTATTTTAAATTTTAGCTGATTATTGTTGATTGGAAACCTCTAAACAATTTTTTTTTATTACTTTGCATATATATATATATAT